GAAAAACTCTGTGGTTTCAGATTTAGTGGAGTGAGGTAATTTTTCTCAGGAAAGTGTGGGAGGGGCAGCCATCTGTGTGTCTCTTGTAATTGGCCCAGAGCCTGACACATTGTAGGTACCCATAGATGCCCACAGATTGAGTAATTAAACTGTGCTGCCTCAGTCCCGAGAGACAACCCTCTGTAACCCCAAATGAACTCCTCTATACAAAAAATATTTGCACCTGTGGATGAAAAGGGGGTGGTGCTGTAATAAATCATAAATTCCTAATTGGAAGTCACTGAAAGGCATAACCACTGTAAAGAAAGCATATAATCATCTAATCCTTGCTCTCTCCCACCCTCATGGAATCTTCCTTATGTTCCCTCATTAATTTCAAATGCATAAAAGAAGTTGCAAAACCATTATTCTCTGGAGCATTTCAGATTTTGTTCCCTGGCATATGTCGTCAGTTTTGCGTCAAATAAACTCATAAAAATTCTCTACAGATTTGTACATTTTCATGTTGATACACCCACTTATTTATAATCCCTTACAGTTATTTTAAATTTGTTCTTATTGATTTCAGAGAGGAAGGGAGAGGGAGAGAGAGATAGAAACATCAATGATGAGAGAGAATCATTGATTGGCAGCCTCCTACACACCCCACACTGGGGATCCAGCTCACAACCCGGGCATGTGCCCTGACGGATAATTGAAGCGTGACCTCCTGGTTCATAGGTTGATGCTCAACCATTGAGCTATGCCAGCCGGGCTCTTACAGTTATTTTTACTTTGAGTCTGAAACAGCCCTCTCTTGAGATCTAGGAAGATGTTGGAAATTCTGACTTACTGGTAGTACTTCCAGAAAGGGCTGAGGGTGAGCGGCGGTATAGATATCATACGAGGGGCAAGTCTGATGGCAGGCACATCCTTGGGTCTGGGTCTGGGTGGGCCAGCATGTCTTCCTTACGGAAGATCGCATTCTCAAGGTTCTCAGTGGACTTTTCTGGTTTCAGGGAGGGTTGCATTTGACTTACCAGTTAGTAGAAGAGTTTTCTTTCTTTCTTTCTTTCTTTCTTTCTTTCTTTCTTTCTTTCTTTCTTTCTTTCTTTCTTTCCCTTCCTTCCTTCCTTCCTTCCTTCCTTCCTTCCTTCCTTCCTTCCTTCTTTCTTTCTTTCTTTCTTTCTTTCTTTCTTTCTTTCTTTCTTTCTTTCTTTCTTTCTTTCTTTCTTTCTTTCTTTCTTTTCTTTCTTGTTCTGTTAATCCTCACCTGAGGATATTTCCCCATTGATTTTTAGAGAAAGTTGAAGGGATGGGGAGAAACACACAGAGAGAAACATCAATGTGAGAGAGACACATCCATTGATTGGTTGCCTCCCACAGGGGCCCCCCCACCAGGGATGGGGATTGAGCCTGCAACCACCGAGGTATGTTCCGATGACCAGAATCGAACCCGGGCCCCTTTAGTCAGAGGGCCAATGCTCTATCCACTGGGCCAAACCAGCTAGGGCATGTAGAGGCGTTCTATTAAAGTTTATAAGGAAGAAGGTGAAACCTGCAACCACACAATGGAAAGGACTGAAGGAATGACTGATGTCCTGGTTCTCAACTTTTCTCAGCCTAGCAACCACCAACCATTTGTGGGAACTGTAGGTGGTCAGGCCAAGGTAATTGTCAGTTCAAGGCCCAGGGGTCAGTGGGGAGTCGATGAAGACTTGGGGACAATAATCTGAGTTCTAGAGGAAGGATGGCTAAAGCCAAGTTAAAATTGGCATTGCGGAGACCAGATGAGAGGCTTGGAATAGGGTGGTAGAGTAGC